ACAATATCAGTGAAATCCGCTAACAGAAAAAACAAATTTCCTCTGAGTTTCTTGATGTGATAGAAGCTCCTGTGTAACACTGCCAAATGGTTGGCAGCAACTAATAAAAAAAAAATAGGATTCATAGCAGCAGTTAAAAAAAAGCGCAGAGTATTCCTTAGGGTAAAGGTTCCCCTTAAGCAATGTTTGTGCTATGGTGGTGTTATTTGTCAAGCTAAGAAGCAACAGATATTCCAAGATGTAAAAAAAAAATACAAGTGAAAGCTAATGCAGATTCCAAGCTTTGACTGCTGTTTGCAATTTTATTGTTATGCATATTTATGTGGATCTTGAGATGTTGCTGTATTATTCTTGATCTATGGAAACAAAGACAAGCTGAGACCAACCTCAGGGGATGTACTGCTGCTCCTGCTGCCCTGTCTCCTGTTGTCTTTAAAGGCACACTATGCAACATTTTTCAGTTAATTAATGTGTTCCAAAAAGTTCAAACAGAAAAGATAAATAGGATGGAAAGACACCAATAAATAAATGCTTTTCAGCTTATGCCTGTAATCTGTTGCTGCGTATTTTTATTAACAAACTTATATTAAGTCCTGCATAATTTCTCTCAGTTCCACCCTCACATACAATTTACACTACACCCGGTTAAGTAACCGCTATGTTTAGATGTAACGTTAGCAAAATAATGTGCCTCAATTTACATCTATACACATGGCAGATTATCACACAACGTAGTTAGCAAAGAGAACATAAACGTTACCTGTTGGCAACCGTGTACGAGTTGGATGCATGTAGCGGGTGTTTTCTCTTCAGATGCTGCAACATTGATGTCATGCTGTTGTGGTACGCCAATTCTGCTTTGCAGTGGATGCATTGCACTGTGTTGTCCTTTCTGTTTAGCCTAAAATGTTCCCAAACTTTTGACATTTTTTGTCGCTTTCGGGGTTCTCCTTCTGAGCATTCTCCGGTTCCCTCCATAGCTACAAACTTAGCACAAGCGCTCCAGGCGCTAACGGAAGTGGTAGCGTTGTGCAACACAAAAACCCTCCGGCTAGACCAGTGTGCTGCGTATTTAACAGCATTGCTTATTACAATACAATAAATTTAGCGAAGCTTCGAGGCAGATAAATTTCCTCGAGAATTTTTTGTAATCGAGTTACTCGAGTTACTCGATGAATCGTTTCAGCCCTACACAGAAGTCTCGCGAGAGTCGGTCTTGCTTTACGGCGAGAACTGCTACACCCCCCAGTTAAAAGCATGCTCGTTGCTAGCACAGTGGCGATCTTTGTGCAGTGCTGCTTTCACACCGGACGCAGCAAAAGCAGCAAAATCTCGTCTGCTGCTTCATTTTTACTGCTTGTACCAGTTAGTTCTGACGCGCGGCTGAAGCAGCTTTGCTGCTCTGGCTGCGCGGTGCAAAAGTGTGTCTGACGCGCGTTGGGCGGAGCATACTATCCTTTCTCTGCCTTGCAGCTATATTTGCTGTGATCAGTGGGAATAAAGTAGTTTTAATATGTTTTTAAGTGAGAAAATACACCTTAAAACGTAATCAGTGCAGTCAGTTCATTCAGATTATCATCCTGCCTTACAATATTTTTTCTGTCGGAGCTGCTCAGACCCCCACATAGCAGCGGTGCGCCGACAGTAGGAATCCCTTCATCAGCAGCCTCTGGCCGGGTCGCCTCCTCGCGGTTCACCGCGGCAGCTGGTAAGTGTTTTTCATCTAAATAATCCAAACTGCATATTCTGCCGGCAGATTTCTGCATTTTAAGTTAATTTAGCCGTCAATAAACTGTTTAAAAGGAGTGATCATAGCGCTCTGATAATCAGCGCTGTGTCTCTCTCCCTGCCAGCTCCCAGATCAGCTTCTCTGATTGGTTGACGCGGCGCGTCGAGCAGCAAAAATAAAATTTTTCCATCTCGAGCAGCAGAGCGTTTGCGGCGCGTCACGCGCGTCAGATGCTTACTCATTCGTTGCGTTTGCCTGTCTGCTAAGCTCAAAACAACCGCGCCTGGCTTGACGGAGAAACCAGGAGAACAGCTGTGCATATTTACGACAGTGCACTTTTACTTTCGCCCTCTGGGGGGAGCCTCGCTGGAAAATCAACACCGGTTGCATAGTGTACCTTGAAGTGTTTATCCGATTAACATACAACCTTTTATTGCATTAAAAATATTCTCTTTGAATATTAGCAAGAAACTTGCTAAAAATCATGAACAAGCACCACCAGTGCCGCATGGTGCTCGGTCCTGGGATTATTGGATGTGAGCGTTATGTGTGAATGTGCGTCTGCGTTTTTTTCTTTTCTTCACAGAGGCTGTGTGATGCAAATGGGGGAACTAGGGACAGAAGTCATGATTGAGACTGTGTATTTTTTCGGATATATATTAAAAAGAATATAAGCTGACTAATAGCTTCTCCATTATTAAATCGGTAAATTATTTTACCATGCAAAACATAGATTTGCCTTCACAAAGCCTCAGAAGGGCAAAATGTATTTAAAAACAGTAAACATGTACATGAAATAATGTTTTGTTTTTATATGGTTTTAATGAAGTTTTTGTTGTTGGCATCCATGTAAATATACTAATGTGATAACTTAGTACTCTGATGGACTGGAGACCAGCCAAGGGTGTACACCTCATTTGGCACCTGAGATTGGCACCTGCACCAACTGGGATTTAGATTGACAGAAAATGGATGGACCTATTATATGTTTGATTGGTTTTTGGTATACGTCTATCTGGAGAAAACTCCACCAGCCGCCACCATTGTAGGCTTTTCAAGAAAAGAAATAATAATAATAACACAAAATGAAATCCAAGCCTGAGGAAGGGTAACCAAAGTAAAAAAAACTATCTTCAAATTAAAAACAGGGAGCCTAAATATAGCAGAGATGGGTGTGTTGGACTAATTGGGGAAGTGGGAGTTGACTCCCTTTTCTCCATAAAAGCTCTCCTGGGCCTGGCATTTTTTATTTTTTACTGCATTTGTTTGGGTTTATGGTCTATTATTTAAGTAGTCCTCTTCATGACTCTCCTTGCATTGCTATTGCTTGTGATTTGGCCATAGCAGGAAATACAGGAGAATGGGATCTACAGTAGTAGCCATTCAAAATTCCCCACTTTCCTTGATGGGCCCTTGGCTGGTCCCCTAAGATTCCTTTTTTAAACATTAATCTTTGCACTAACATATTTTTTCTGTCATGATTTGTTTTATTCTGCCCTATTTTCTTTTCAATTAATTGCTTAATGATGATTTATAGAACTCAAAGCATGATACTTGAGTTCTAGATAGAGTATATTTACAAATTTATATTTTTATTTATATATCTTAATTATAAAAAACGCATTCATCTTTGTGGAGTCTTGGCTTAATTACTGCTCTAAGTGGGTTGTTCTTTTGGCGGATCAGGTTTTAGAGTCTGATCACGTCAGTAATGATTATTTGAATACTAAATTAATTGGTAAGTAAATTGTAAATGTCTCTTCTTGTGTGGTGCACTCCAAAGTGCTTCACACTATATCCCGTCATCTACACTTTTATACACACTCACTGAAGGTGGTTTTCCACATTGTAGCCACAGTTGCCCTTGGGCAGACACATAGAGGCTAGGATGCCAACGCAATCAGCGCTACTGGGTGCTCTGATGACCAGCAGCGTACAAGGCAGGTGAGGTGTCTTGCCCAAGGACTGGGGTCAAACTTTCTGAACCACTGAACCAGCTTACATAACATTAAGGGCTGAAAAACACCTACAGATCAGAACGTTCTGTGTGCAGTTTATGACTTCTTTGGTGACAGAAAGGGACAAACTCAAAGGGTTTCCTATAGAAGCATTTATGTGTGCTTTATGTGGTTTTCATGTTGTAATTCACAACACTTTGTCTTATAATCACAGAAATATTTTGTTAAAGAAAATCTTTGAGTAAAAATAATTGTTTTGGTTTACTGGAGCAGATATGTAATTAAATGAGTAGAATGTTAATTTTTAGCTACATTTATTGGAAATGCCTGGCAATAGAGTTCTTTACCATTTGTAATGAAGTTTATTATGTGATTTAATTTTTGTAAATATTTCCTATTGTGCAGATTCTTATTTGGTAATTGTAGAGTGTTCTATTACTATAGTTCTATAGTGTTTTGTAAGCTTATATACACTGGGCACCATGTGATCGTGTATGACATGTTAATGGTTGAATGTTTACCAAAAAAAATACATGTTTGCAGTAATTTTGTTATTAAGGACATCATCTAGCATACCCAGCTGGGTTTTTTTCAGCTAAGAATGAGAATCTTGTTATGGAGATTCATTTCATTCAAAATTAAACAAACAAATAAATACTGCCCTTGATGAAATGTCAATAAATATTACAATAAATAAATAAATATCCCCATGAAATAAAAATATGTTAAAGATATTTCATTAGATAGTTTTATTTTATTTTTTTTGCCAGCCAAAAAATAAAATTTTGCCCCCTTATTTAAATAAAAGAACATGAAACAAAAGTTTAAAATGAAAAACAGGGTTGAAAAATAAAATTCACTGAATAGGTAAAGTAGCTTTACAAAATAAAACTGTCACCAAATAATACTCCATTATAAATAGATATAGAAATAAATAAATGCATAAATGAAGTAATTAATACATTTTTGAATAAATAAAACTCTTTAACCCTCCTGTTATGTTACGGGTCAAATTGACCCGTTTTAAAGTTTGAAGATCTAGGAAAAATAGTTAAAAGTATTTTTTCAGAATGAAACTTCTTCTGCTTGCCTTAAATAGTGTAATCAACATATAATATGAAAATGGTTCATCTCACATATTTGCAACCACCCCCTGCATTTTTATATCACATAGATACTGTTCGGGTCAATTTGACCCAGAAGTCAAACTGGAGGTAAAAGGATGTCAGAAATGGCAGACTATTTCTTTCTTTGCAACTGTGAGACATGTTTCACCCCAATCTCACACACACACCCTACCCCCCCACCCCACACACACACACGCACACACAAAAATTTGATAATCGAGAGACATGGGCTGGTAGACGGGAGAGAGACAAGCTGGCAGCTGTTAGGACAGTGTGGGACAACTGGGTAGAGCAACTTCCACTACTCTATAACCCAGGCCCTAATGTCACAGTGGATGAAAGGCTGGTGGCATTCAGAGGTTGCTGCCCATTTAGGCAATACATGCCTTCCAAACCAGCTAAATATGGGATAAAAATCTGTGCAGCATGTGATGCAAACACCAGCTATGCATTGAACATGCAGGTTTACACTGGAAAGCCGGTGCAGGAGCTCCAGACAAGAATCAGAGCAGAAGGGTCGTGCTTGACATGGCACAGGGTCTCAGGGAACAGAAGATAACCTGTGACAATTTTTTCACAAAGTACAACTTGGATCAGGAGCTTCTAAAGAGAAAGCTCACGATGGTCGGAACTGTCCGAAAGAACAGGGCTGAACTCCCTGCTGAGCTGCTGGTAATCAAGGACAGGGCCCCTCAATCTTCCATGTTTGCCTAGACAGACACCACAGCCCTAGTGTCTTACTGCCCCAAAAAGGCAAAAAATGTTGTGCTCATGAGCACTCTGCACAAAACTGCTGAAATCAGCACAAGAGAGGACCAGAAACCAAGCATGATCCTTGATTACAATGCCACCAAAAGGCGGGTAGACAACTTTGACAAAGTCACAGGGTCCTAAAGCACCAAACGGATGACTGCGCACTGGCCATTGGTCATCTTTTATAACATTATCAATGTATCAGCCTACAATGCATTTATCATCTGGACGGAGATATTTCCTGACTGGAATGTGTCAAAGCTGTACAAGAGGCGCATCTCTCTCGAGGAGCTGGGGAAGGCGCTTGTGACACCGAACATCCAACGGAGGCAGCACCTGCCAAGGACCCTCGCCGCTGCAGCCATGGTGAGGGAGATCCACGAGAGGACTGCATCAAGTACACCAATGCGTGAGGTAAGTAAGTAAGTAAGTGGGTGTGTGTGTGTGGCTGTGGGTGTGTGTGTATAAGTGTATGAGAGTGTGTGTCTTGGGATCAGCAAAAAGAGACCATAGTAAAGTAATCATGGTCCTCTTGTTTATAGGTTGCTGCTGAGGGGAAAAGAAAGAGGAAGAGGTGCCAGTTCTGCAGGCCATCTGACGATGTCAAGACAAGCATGACCTGCGCTAAATGTGCAAAATTCATTTGCTCAAAGCACAGTGTGATGACATGTCACTCATGTGGTGTGGAGATGTACAGACAGACAGACAGACACACACGCACATACACCTTGTTCATATGGCAATTGCTTGTTTGTTGTATTGTTGTATTGCGACTTTGTTCATTTCTGGTTCACAAACAGTGCATGTATGTAAAACAAAATTTAAATGTTAAGTTTCAATGTTGTGTAAAACTATTGTGTTTTATATGTTGGTCTTTCAAAAGTAATAAAGTGGTGAAACATTAAAAAAAGTTTGAACATGCATTTTTTAAAAACGAGTGAATTATGATAATTGGATCATTACCTGTTAGAGGTAAGGAACACCATTGCGCTAAATATACATAGAATAGTTAGTAATGGAGTTAGCAATGAAATATTAGCAATGCTTGTTGGGATTTTTTTGGTTTCAGACATCTTTTGGATGATTAAACATGCAACGGGTCAAACTGACCCGGGAACAGCATTGCTGTACCTAAGAAATGAACATAACAGGAGGGTTAAATAAAATAAAACAAACACTTTTATTCTGTGTTATTTCATGGGGATATTTATTGATTTAATGGACTGTTTATTGACAATTTATCAAGTTTTTATTTGATGTTTACTTGATGTCACGTACGCCTCATTACTTATGCGTCTCACGAAGTGGTGGTCTGCCCAGGAAGTTGTTGACATCACTTGAATATGCCTTTTGCGTGTGTTTTTTTTAGGTTGTTCTAACAGGTCAAATCACGAGACTGACAAAGAACACTTTCAGGTTCCTCATGAAAATATCAAAAAAGGGCTTTGCGTTAAGGATTTCACAAAAAGCTGCAGGGAAAAATTACTTGCAAACATTTTGTTGGCTCCAAAGAGAGCTGAGTCAAAAAAAGTCAGTTTTTAGGGATCACTTTTTTTAAAGATCCGTAATTTCAATTTGATGTTAATTTACCTATAAAGAGCCTTTCAATGTCTTTAGCACTAATTTGAACATACATTCAAATTACTCATCAACATGTGAACACAACTCAGCTAATCTGTTTAAGTGAAATGACACAAAGCAAAAAAGCATTAAAAAACTAACTGACAAAATTGTCACTAAAACATTACATTCAGCTTTGCTATCTTTATTTGCTTAATTACAAACACGAAGCAAGAATTGAGATCTGATTTTTCTGACTAGCATACACCGTCACTAGCGAACTCTTTTACATTGAAGGATTATTTATTTAATAAGCCATGCAGTCAAAATGCGCATCCACAGATGAAAAATATGCAGGCATCCATACTTTTCAAAGCCTTCGTTTGTTTATCATTGCAAAAGCTTGTTTTTAACAGTAGATAATTTGAAATATTGAGGAACTGAACTGGCGCATAATGTTAGTCAAATCATTGTTGTTATCTTCATTTGCTTAGGTACAAACACGAAGCAAGAATTGAGATCTGCTTTATCTGACCAGCATACACCGTCACTAGAAAACACTTTTACTTTGAAGGATTATTTATTTACCAAGCCATGCAGTCAAAATGCACAGTTATTACAGTTTAACGCGTAAGGGTCTATTCCGTCACACAATTTGACTTTTTGATGTATCGATCAAGAGAATCAGAATCTAAAGCACAGAAATATTCAGAAGTAGAGGTGCATTTTCTTTGTACATCGGCAGCCATATTTAGTTGGCCTGGCCACCACTTAATTAACGTGTCACATGATTGTAAGCAAATAATAGCTGTATCTATTTATTTAATTTTAAATGAAATGTCTCTCCACAGTTTTTGGGTTGAAAGTCATTTTTAAATTTTGAAGCCGTACAAAAAAGTGTTTTAACCATGAATTTGGAAGATGTGCAATATCAAGGTGACACCAGGTTATTTAAAAATTAGTATTCATAAATAAACTGTTTAGCCTCCGTAGATTATTTATGTTCCTAGTAAAGTTGTTTTTCAGAACTCAATATTTAATGCAAACCTCTTTTTTAATTTTTTATTTTAACATCCAAACCCGTCTTCACATGTTTCCACTGGTAGCCTAATTTTTTTTTTTTTTTTTTTTGGATACATACTTTAAGTCTTTTTGGTTTAAAGGTCTATTGCCATAACCCTTTTCTATGAATGATCCCAGCAGGTAAACTTTATCAGGTTAAAGCTGTTTGGTGCCAAGGAAGAAAAAGCTTTTATTATTATTATTATTATTTCTTAAATGACATAAAACATTAGTCTTCTTGGTTTGAATAATTGTGAGCTCATTATCAGCCTTCCAGCAATTTGATAAAAATCTTGCTCTTCTACATACTTAATAAAACTAGTTATCTTTCACTGACAAAGCACTTTGCTTTCCTGCTTTATCTGTCCCTATTTTTCAAATACTGTATCACTAATATTGCAGTTTGATTCATCTTTATCTGAGGACCAGCATCCACAACAAAGTGCATCATATTGTTTCAGTGTGACCAGGGGCGTTGCTAGGCACAAAGCTTTACTGGGGCACTGGCCCCCTACCGCATATGCCCCTCCTTCATACATAAATACAGACAAGCACACTGCCCAACCCTGATACATTCCTACCAAAATTACCAGTTGAGATATTAATGAGTATAAGAGCATATTTGTTTTAACAAACATGAACATTTTCAACATTGCAGCTATAAAAAATAAGACATCAACAACTTTGACAAATAAAAAGTTTCCTTATACACATTCTGAAGTAATCATTAATTCCTAGGTTACAGAGTTTTAGTTCGGGGGAAATTTTAACTCGTCCTGAGCTAAGTTTTCCTTTTATTTTTTTAACATTAAAGTGTACCTCATATTTATCATTTTTGCAAAGTGGTCAATCACTTGTGACTCAGCTTAGAAAGTTCTTCCTTTTCAACTGATAAAATAGCAAGATGATGGAGCCTATCTTGTCCCATTGTGCACCTCAGCCAAGTGTGGAGCCTTCTCAACACACTGAAAGACCTTTCACAACTCCAGCTGTAGACTGGGATTGTGAGGGAGATCTGGATGACCTGCGTTAGTGTTGGGAATATGATGTTATCAAGCAAGTTGAAAACACACTGCATATCCTTGATAACAAGGCTTTCTTTTTTAACCAGGAAAAGCTCAAACCATTTTGAATTAAATTAATGTTTTTTTACTCCAAATTTGTGCTGGGGATGGTGGGACAACTTCACTTGTTTAGGACCATCATGCTTTCCCCCTAAGTCACTAATGTCCCCTTCTTGTTTGTGGAAGCTGGTTGTTGCATCCTCATCACCTTCATGGTCCTGTCTCTCCTGTCCTTCACCTGTCTCTTGCCTGTCAGTCTCGCCTCCTCCTCCCTTTCCTACTCCAGCACCTGCATTCTCATTCTCTACAGCAAACATAAAAAAACGTAAATTTATAATTATGTAAATATCTATCATATTACTTATAACGTTCCTAATGTAACTGGTTACATTAAATCACTAATTCATTACGGGACCTTACCTCCCTCTCTCATCTTGTTTTACTGATTCCCTGTCTCTGCTTCGTGTGAGGAATTTCCTGATATCCATCTACAAACCAATGCAGTAATTTTCAGTTAGTAGCCTATAAATCATCTGGTTTCACTGGGAAAATAATAAAATTGACAGGTAAGAAACATTACCAGAACTAAAAATGCGTCGTGGCCGCACAGTGTCCCATCCAACTCAGTTGAGAGCAGCGCGTTAATTTACCTGCAGTTCATGCAGTGACATGCGCTGACGTGGGGGCGCTAATACATCCTCAATTTGGAGTTAACGACACACTTGCTCCGCATTTGAGTAGAAATATACGTCTCCTCCCGTTGGAATTATCTAAATTGATGCATTAAAAAAATGTAATACTGTTGCAAATATTCATGAGATTTATACTGGGGCACAGCTCATTTATACTGGGGCACGTGCCCCAGTAAATGGGGTCTGGCGACGCCGATGAGTGTGACCAGGTAAGTTTTTTTTTTCTTTGGTCTTTGGTTGTGTGTTTGTTTTCTTACAAACTGTCCCAAAAAAAAAAAATAATAATAATGTACTTCCCTGGGTTATGGGTGTCAAATCTCATACCATTATTGTTTGCCTATTGTTGTTGTGTAAATGCTTATATATCTGTCAGCTGCCTTGCCAGTTTTGGCTGTGAAATGCTATGGGTTTTTAAATAAAAAAGGCTTAGTTCTGTAAAATAAATGACTGCCTCTAACATTCAGACACGCTCTGACTTTACCTATCAAAGTTTCTAATCTGTAACTTATTTTCCCTTGAAATATATATATATATAAAAAAGAAGTGAGGCAAAATTATGAAAATATGCTGAAATTAAAATAGCTGTTGATTGCCCTTGGTTGTTTATTGCAAATCAAATCTGTTTTTGGTTGAATTTTAGGCTATGTGATTGCTGGACTGTAAAAACATCTTCTCTAGTCTGATTACTTCATTAAAAGCCGAGGCATTTATGTGGCTGCTGGATGATATGGCACTTCCATGGCAGCACAGAGACCTCCTACTAGGAATCCTTGACAATTTTACACATCTGAGAAAATAATCCTCCATTGAGAACCATCAAATTCACTGAGGCAGTACATTCAGCTCTATTCATAGATCAAAGACTAACAAATTGCAACAAAATAGGCTTGAATGTGAAAAAAACCCAAATTCCACCTGAGAGTCTGAAAATATGATTGAGCAGTCTTGATGCAGCACTTAGGGTGAAACTCTCTTGCTTTTACAGCTCTAATAAAAGTTGAAAAATAAAAAATGTCCCTGTTGCTCACTTTCACCAACGGGTAAAGTAACTAATAACATTTCATACATTTATCAAAGAATATTAAAACCTCTTTCTGCAAATGTAATATATTTAGTACATTTAAAATGGAAGTTCATGTCAACATAATCTTCTGTTACATCTATGAAAGAACATATTCGCTGTTTATTTGTTGGCAGAGTGTTGGCCTAGTGCTTAGAACAGTATCCTTGTGGTCTGAGAAGGTTTTAAGTAGCTGGTTCGATCCCCACAGCCTGCAGTCTGGGTGCCTGAGCATGACACTCACACTGCTCCCCGGGCTCCGCACAATGGCAGCCGACTGCTCCCCAAAGGGATGGGTTAAATGCAGAGGTACATTTTTCCAGTGTGAGATCAATAAAGTTCAATTACTATTATCATTATTATATTTTCAATGCTACTGTTTAAGTGGAAGTCTTTGTGCTGAAGCAAAGCCAGCCAACAAAGGTAGGTAGCACAGTATTTGCCTAGAATGGTATTAAAATTTATTTTTCTTGTTCTTTTAAGGGTCCAG